TGAATGCATGGGTAGTAGCATGCAGTGATCGCGAACTTCGCATCGTAGGCAAAATAGTGTGACTTTACTGTGGAACGGCCGCTGGCCTGGTCGCTCTCGCCGTTCCGGATCTGCCACTTGTAGCCTTGGCACTTGTTAGTACACTTCAAGGCTTGCCCACCAAAAAAAACTACGGGCACCAGGTCAAAATGATGCAAGTCCCGGCTTGGTCCCTGTGGCTGTCATGCTGTACACACATTTCAAGGTCCTATGCCTATGCTGTAGAGACAGAGGCTTGGACCATGGCCGGCAGGGGCTTCATCCCAGTCCTAACATCAGGCCAAGCAACGCCTCCAAAGCCGTATCTCGGAATGCTCCTGAAGGCGCAAAAAATTGTCAGGGCTTGGGGCTGTGCAAGTGCCCAGGTACTGGACCAAAAGATGCCCATCGACCAAGGTGGAGTGGCAGTATGCCACTAAGCTGCCTCCATGCTGCCATCGCCACCATTGAGCCAGCCAGGGTAAAAGCCTGGGACTTGGAGACTGACACCAGCAGCAACTTCTCTAGCCTCCATTGTTATGGGTTAGGATAGTCCTGGATGCGGGTCGTAAACAGACCTCCATTGTCACAAATCCGCGGGCCGCATGCTTCCGCTCCTTTTGAAAACCGCAGGCCCCCTGCACTCGGGTTATCTACCTGAACAAGTCGAGCAGCTTGCAGAGAAGACGTGGGGTGGCAGCATCAGTGAGGCCTGCAATCAGGTCTTGGATGGCCGGCAGGTTTATCGAGAACCCTGTGGCTAAGCCCAAATGGGTGTTGCACCCAGATTAAGATGATAACATCACCTGCTTGTCAGCTTCCTGTGTCGGGAGCAGAAACATGCCAAGGGCCTACATTTGCAGATGGCCCCGGAAGAGCGTCCGAGAATGAATTCGCATGTCTCCCATACTCCCATGGGGAACCAACTGCTATAGTTTTTGCCAGGAACCCCATGAATGACCAACAGTCCAGAAAACCGTGCTGAGCCGTACTACCCTGGAAGCAAGCGTGGGAGCACCTGACCAGGATGTTCAAAGCTTTCAAGGGGCCTTCTGCTGTAGCGCAGAGCTTTGATCCCCAAATTTACTCTTCAATATTTCCGTATCCCATGCCATAGAACTCTCGTAGCAGGAACTCCAGAGCGTGCTCAAGGCCATTGGCAAAGCGTGCACTCTGCAATGCCTGCTCCCTGACCATCTGCGCCTCCTGCACGTGTCTGGCAAGCAAGGCGAGCACACCAACCCCAAAGAAACGATGCACAAGTCATTTCACTCATGGCTTCCTGATGTGGAGGTGCTCCTTAGGCTGGGTAACTGGGAGTCTCAAGAATTCTAAATAGGCTGCATGTACAGTCCAAGAATTCAAAAGCGAAAGTATCCGGTGTCCTGCTCGTTCCTGTCTCCAGCAACGATGCCCCTCTGCACATTGGGCACCTGCATTTGCACTGCAGTTGCATGATGCGACATGTGCTGAGGAGAAATATCATGGTCATCCTTGATCTTGCAAACAGTATGATGGTTCATCATCGTGTCATATCTGCTTCTGTTTCTATTGTCTGCCAGGATGCCTCCTCAGACCACCGGTAGTACGCGCGCATCAAGACCTGGCATGACATGCCCAGAATAAGCTTGGGAGGGTTGGGTGTCACTGAAGCCCGGCTCTACGTAGAATCTTACCTTCCCCCAGCACATGTAATCCGGAAGAAGTCAATGATGAAGGTTCACCTCCTAACTGCCAAAATGTTCTTGGGTTGTGGTTAGGGCTACTTGCTCAAACCAAATCTGCCAGCCTTCACTTCGCAGCCCTACATCCTTAGCGAATACCAGCCCGGGCTTGACCTCTAGGCAAGCAAGGACGCCTGTGGTCTATTCGTTATGAAGAAGGAATCAGCCAGAGTCAATGCACGCAACACCTAGTCAAACAGTAGCGGGCGCTTGCGTTCTACCAAGCCTCACAACTTTCTGGCTGCAAGCGGGAATGAAGGCTGAGAGGCGTGGGGTTCGGAGATGAAAGTCCTACAGGTGGAAATCTACACAACTATTGAAGTTGAAGTTCACCCTAAGTTTCTCCAGCTGGAGCAAATAGCAACAACATCATACCGCAAAGTGTTCTGTCAAAGTTGCTTGAAATCGCCCTGTGTCCCATGGTTCCTGAGCCCTGCGAGCAGGCACTTTGCTGGGCTCCAACTCTCGCAGCTTCCTCCGGCGCTCAGGATTCGACTCGGGCCTTCTTTGCCGGAGGTTCCGTGACCTCCAGCCAGCACTATCTAGCGGACAAGTAACAGCGAGATTCCAGCAGGGAACTAAAATATTTGGTTTGCTTGAGAGTTGCCTTTGATCTTTTTTGGGCAGGGTTGTTGAAGCTTCGGCCTGAAACGACACGAACACAACAGACCCCAGTAAGGCATTTACTCTGGAAGACCCTGCAACCATAAGCGGTCCTGTGTGCCATTTCGGAGGGTCGACAGGCATGGGCCTAATCTAGAGGTCGTTGCTACAGGGTTCGGATCACAGTCTTGCCTACGGCTACCCGCATTTCATTCGCAGCATTTTATAGACCTTTAGCCACTTGAGCCGTTGCCGGTACACATGGTGACTCTCAAAACGAAAAGCTCACAACAAATAATTCCTTCCTGGAAGCTCCTATGGCAGGCCTACATTCTTCCTGCAAAGCAAGGCTTGCAATGATCCGCTCGAACCCGCTCGAATCTGAACAGAACTGTAAATTCATGATGTGTGCTTTCTGTGTTTTTTGTTTGTTGTGTTTCTGGTTTCCTCGGTTTTCCATGATTTTGAGAGCTTCCAGACCATAAAATCTACCAAAACTATTGAAAACTAATGAAAACCCTCAAATTTCCGGTGGTTTCATGGTCTTCACTAGATTTTCCATGATTTTGAGCCTCCAAAGCCGAAAATCGAAGAAAACCATTACAAAGACAATTTAAAAATGACATGAAAACAATGAAAATCCATGGCTTTTTTGATGGACTTGTTTTAATGGTTTCCTCGAATTCCATGATGTTGATTGCTTCCGGAAGCGAAAAACCACGAAACAATACACTCCTTGGAAACCGTATTGAAGTTGTACATACATGTCTATTGAAAGCGCATCAAAAGTGTAACGAAAGTGTCCTGCGCTGAGACATGGCGACATGTATGCAAAAATGCAACTGCAACGTGTACTGAAACCATGAAATACCCATTCGTTGGCCCATCACCCTTTCATGCTTATCAGATGGTCCTAAGATGTCCTAAGTCTATGACTTAGCTAGGAATAGAGGCCTCCTCCATTGGCGGTCCATAGCCATCATCCAGCACTGCAGCCACAGGCGCCGGTGCCTCAGCCTCCGGCGCAGCCTGGGTGATGCCCGATGATCCTAAATGCAGAAGACCAAAACAACCGTCAGACGCCTAGAAAAATTGGATGATGAGCACCCCTTCTGCCCCAAGTTACCTTCTACCCCAAGTTATCCTGCCCCAGGACTGACATGTCCCTCTCAAACTGTTGGAGGTAGGCGATAACCTAAACAGCTTGGACCTCTCGGGGCATAAAGGGCCACAATCGGCATGAAGAATCTCAACATACACTGTGAGCACAAAGACCATCAAGGGGAGGCAGGGGCAGCCTGGATCGGATAGGTAATGCTCCCAAAGTTGGGTCAGTCAAAATCTACTCCTCCAACAAGCGTCTAGGAAGAGTGATGGTGTCGCTCCCTACATCACCCTATATGATCCCACTGCACCCATCCTAAGCCTGTGCCTCTTCCGAGGGCGCAACGGCTAGGGCCTCCACCTGTTGCAAGTCGAAAAACATGATCCTGCCCGCCCGGCAGTAAATTTCACCCTTGGCAGCACTAGGAATTCACATCTACTGTACTACAAGGGCACAAGGACTTGAAAGACAACCTGCTCAACATCCAAGTATGCAGGATTATGCAGGATTGCATGGTATTAGGTGCAGGAACGGCTTGCAAGTGGCCCATAGCGTCACGGGAAGAACTTGTCAGAAGTTTTAGTGTCAAGCTACGCATCAAAGACCTGAACTGGACAAGGATCTAACACGATGCATGCGCTAGGGGGGGGCTCTTATCGTATGCAAGGTACCAGAAAGCTTGGCAAGGGTGTAACCATCACATGTCACAGAATATACAGCAATAGTACGTTGTCTGTCAGGTTTCCCTCGTATCTCGGCCTGGTCCTTCCACATTTTTCTAGGACAATGCTAGTTTGCCAGGTACTTCCATTGACTTTGCGGCTGTCACTGTTAGCAGAACATGAACTGTCTAGCATTGCCAACTTCACGCAGTTCCCACTTGTTTCGATTAAAGTCGGCCTGAACCGAAAAAGGCAAGGATTTCATCAAGCTAAGTCAAACCGAAGCCAAAAGGGCCAGCATATGCCATCATTCCCTGCACACAGTTTGATGGAAAGAGCAACGCCCTCATGAAATTTCAGTTTTTTAACCCACGGTATGGATATAATTATGGTTTCCCTCCTACAGATCAATGTCAGTCAGTAAACTGCAGGAAGCACAGATCTGAGATTCCTTGCACGTCTTGTCGGCATGGAATGAAGTTGGCAAGAAGCAATCCGACATTTGGGTTACTGAGGTACTGCACTTCACACCAAATCAGAACATATGAGCTATAGTCTAAACTCCTAGTATCCCCCTTAATAAGCCCTATAGTAGTCCCCTAAATAATCCCCTATATAACCCCCCTTTAAGGAGTTTAGACTATAGCTCATATCTCTTCATGACTTCATGCATGGCAAGGCCTTTGATTGCTCATCTTCCGCAAATTCACGTAAATCTACTGGCATCATCAAATCCAAAGCTTGTGAATCTGTTTGCGTCTACTTGAATTTCTTTTCCGGAATAGGTGGCAGCAGGATACCTGGACCCCTAAAAAGGGACCCTGAACCCTATAACCTCCAATTTCTCTTCTGCATGGTTGATGTTTGTATGTTGGTCGGGGCCCAGGCCTCCAGGGCAGCTGCAGGGCCCTCGCCTGCGACTGCATCTGGCAGATCGTCAGCACTTGGCAGTTTCCATACATATGGGTTCCCATGAAAATTCGAAGAAGCAGGAGCGACAAAAGGAGCAGCAGCAGCAGCAGCAGGTGCCTCAGCAGCGGCTACCTTCTTAGCGGCAGTGGTGGCAGATTGAGGAAGGAGGCGAGTGGCAGCCATGGTAAGAAACGAAAGACGTAGCAGTGCTACCAGCAGCAGCAGCAGCAAAAGTAGTACAGTGGAATCCGCACGTAAAACGATTACTTTTACCCAAGCTCCTGTTACTTCATTGCACAGGCGGAAAGCCCTACTTGCTGATGATCATCTTGCTGATGGTCATTCGGACCCCCCCGCCCTAGACTCCCTCATGCGGCAGTAGTGTTCTTATCTGCCATTTGCTGCCAGCTCCGATACCCCCATGAAGAGGACTTCTGCCTGGCGTCTTCTCGGGTGCTACTGCTTCAGCCGCTGCCACGGCAGCCTGGCGCGAGAAGCTTACGAGTCTTCGAAGATGTTCGGAGCACAAATTTCGAATACCAGGGACTTATGAGCATTTCGTGCAGCAGCAGCAGCATCAGCAGACTTTGTTGAGGTACTTCTTTCTCAATCAGAGAAGGAAGAGCAAAGCAGCTCTTCTCCAGCTTTTGCAAAAAGCCGTCGATCGCTTTGCACGCTTCCCGCGGATAGATATCACCTTGGCACAAGACCTGAAATTGCAAGGATACCTGCAGTTCGGCTTTGTGGGCATATTAATCAACAGCACTTCAGGCAGGTAAAAAGGTAAAACTCCATGTCACAAAAAGCATCTAGAGGGCGTGCGAAGCATAGGCTCCAACCGTGTTCTCAGGTTCTTGTTGGTGGCGTAGAGGTACCGAAGTCTTTGCCCGTTCTCGTTTCGAAGGTACAGAAACCATGGTGCATGCTTGCCAGGCGCGCAGGGTACAGGGCACCATGCTAGGAACAAAGCACCCAAACCAACGTCTCACTCAAGCTCGCAGCGGCCTCCAACACATCCGCAACTGCAGGAGTTTCCTGCAAAGTGCCGACATGTATATTGCATATGGCAAGACAGATGGATCATTGATTGCCCAGTAAATTTAACAGGTCTATCTGCAGCGCACTTGCAGGAAAGCGGTGCAACAACTCGAGTATTAGGAGGCTGCGGCTGATGTACAAGCAGAGTTCCAGTGTCAAGGCTGCACGAAGTCATCTCCACTCGCCATGCATTACCGTCAACCCCCCACATCAATTCGCGTCGAACCTTGCCCACAGCCGCTGCCGGGGCTTCTGCCGGGGTGGCGTCGGCTGCTGGAGCTTCAGTTGACTCCTGCCACGGATTCCAGAGTTCAAGGGTGTGTAGCTTGAGGATTCGTGGCTAAAGGGCACGGCTTCTGAGAATGAACATCTGTTAGAAATCGCTGTTTCGATTTCACTTGGAGATCATGTGCTAGTGTGAGTGGGCATCAACATGAATGGCAAAGGCTTAAAATGATTGACACTTCATGGCCTGCATTCTGACCCGAAGCTCATAAGCTTTGACCCTTACGTGCCCATGTGCTGCAGCCTGACACTTCAAAAAGGCATACAGTGGGATAATGGAAAATCAAATGGAAACTACTATAGTATATTGGGGGTTTATAGGGATAATGGAAAATCAAATGGAAACTACTATAGTATATTGGGGGTTTATAGGGAAAATGGAAAAGAAAATGGAAACTACTATAGTATATTGCTCCTTCACAGGCTCAGGTGGTGGAGGGTTCCGATTTCTTGCAGACTTCACGAAGTCCATGAAATCCGTCTTGCCAGAGACCTCTTTGCCTGGGCAAGAAAATAGGAGTTGAAAAAGTGTGGAGGCCAGGTCTATGGGTCTCGTATGCTCATGTGCTGCTCACCGGTTTGTTGACATATGAACAATTGACACACAAACCCATTTCTTTGTACTGCTACCAACGGACCAAGACACGCGCATAGACGCGAATGTGGTGCCGGCCAAACAGCCTTCTGCTTTGCCACATGAAGGCCTTGTTGAACTTGGACTTATACCTGAGCTTGCCAAGCGATAAAAAAAATGCATTTGAGGTCGTGAATTGGAAATGGACAGAGCACAGGCTTGGACTGCAGGGGGGTGCGCAAGCACGAGTTTGCAGCATGACTCAGCATAACAGTCCAATCCAAGCAGCTCTGGCAAGCAATGGTGACAGGCTGACCCTTGAAAGCCCACGTGTTCCCCTTTCGTAGGTCGTAGGATGTCTTCAAATTTGCAAGCCGGGACTGTAAGCCCCATCTACCCATTAGTTCGTCCCGGCGCAACCTTGCAGACCCCAGTCTCTGTTTGTACAAACAACTGCCTCAACACCAGCAAGACCTTAATTAAATTCGGCACAAGCATCTCTTCTTCGATTCCATTGGCTGGGTCCTCCCGTGTCAAGGTGGCTGCCGGTTAGCAGGGCGAGTATGGGACAAAGGTCCCATGCCGGGCACTTAGCCCAGCTAATTATCCTCATAGCTTGACAGCCATTCAGCCACAGAGTACAGATTCTGTTTCAGTTTGCCGTCAATCCCTACAGACTACGTCGTGACTACGTAGTTGGGGCTGCAGGGCAAGTTCTGGGTCTTGAACATTTTGCGGGCATGGCACCACCTTTACTCCCCGAACACCTGCCTGTCAACTGGATCTACCGGCATGTGCTAGATTGATATACATGAAGAAAGACCAGAATCCTTCACTCAGCTCAGAAACCCCGCAAACACTTGAACCCAATCCCTACATGAAGCCCTTGACTCCTACCGTGTCCTCCTACTCATCCTCAGTACATACCCAGAATGTGCGGCCTTGGGAACGATCGTTCCTGCCTTCTCCCTCAAACCTCTGCAACCTTTTCCTCATTCCCTACCATCCATTCCATTCCCCACTTTGCACTAGCAATCAGGTCCTCATCTTCCTCCATCCGATCCAAGGCCCTCTCGCAGAGCCTTCGGATCTCCAAGGCCTCAGCGGACAAAGCTCCGCAGTTCGAGGTTTCAGCTGCTGGGGTTTGGGATGGTTAAGGTTTGTGGGTGAAGGGCAAAGTCCTATCAATCACGCCACAATGGTCACAGGGACATTGCTGCAATTAGTGGTGGTAGTCGGCTTGTCCAATTGATGCAAAGTCCGCTGAGCGCTGTTTGCACTCGAGTTTGAGATTTTACGTCTGCTGGAACTCCTCGGCTTCCTGTAATATAGCAAATGCCACTCTTCAAGGCACCCGAATCTGAAGTTCCAAGAGAATGTCAAGGGTTCGAGTGCTACCTGCAAGGTAGCGCTCCCGCTCGAAGGAGCACCACAGCAAGCACTACAGCAAGGCTATCAACTTCCGAAAGGCTGAGCTCCATATCTCATAGTCAGGACCTTTTAGACTTTGAAAAGCGTCCTGGAAGCTAACAACACCGAGTTCAAGTGCATTGCCCAAATTCCCGGACACGTGGCTTGGACCACCAGCCACTGAGGTGTTATGCACGGGGGACAGGGATACTATAATAATACCCCATGATATACTGTAATATACCATCATCTATTTTAGTAGGTTATAGTGAATTACAATATAAATCCTGAGCCGCTGACGCAAGGCTCTGGTTTGCCGTCGGTGTCCTTGCGGGGTGTCTCCACCACTGGCGGCGTGAAATTCTTGACCTCCTGAGGCAATTCTGTGGGACTTTTTGTGGTGCCTTGGAATCAAAGGCATGGTGCGCCTTATTACTGCATGGGTGCTTCTTCTTTTGCGGCTGTTTTTCGGGGGATCCCTGGCTTCGACACGAGGGAAGGCCTCGTAGAATAGTTGGTTGGATGTGGTCTTGTCATCCAGAAAATCAGCAAGGGTTAGGGAGAAGGCCCTTGACAAACCGTGGCTTTTGGCAATCGGTAACATCTGCTCATTCTGAAGCCTGTGAACCAAACCTAATTAATCATCACCATACATGTGAACATTGTGACTTAAGCCTCACACAACAAATAGCGTGAATCCAGAAATTCCAAAAACAACTGGTCCAGACCCCGCTAGCCCCTCAAAGTCGTCCCGAAGCAGGGCTTGAGGAGGCATAGCTACAAGATACTATGGTATACCATAGTAATATACTGCCATGTCTATGTATTTGTTCATTGTCCTGCAGGAGCGCTTTGACAGTGCTTTCGAGGACTGGCTTTTCGGACTTTGGAAACCTGACTGGCTGGCAGGCGGAATGAAAGGAATTATCTTCAGATTCCTGCTGCAACATTTGGCTTTTAGTTCAAAACTTGTCTCAGCTCCAGGTGGTTATCATCAACATTGGACTAACACGCTCAAAGGGTTTTGCCAATGAAGGTAGGTGGCAGTACAGTCGCGGCAACCTGATCGATCTCCGGCACCTCGCTGCAAGTGTGGTTCTGCTTCAGGCTGAAGGCACCGCTCTAGCTTCCATCAGAACCTCGGGCCTAGGGCCTAGACGTTTTGGGGCCGCAGATGCAACGAATTTGGAGGCACACGCGCCTTGCCCGATAACATCTCTTGGCTCTCGTGCTCCCACTCGCGGCAGCCCTGGCCTTTCCTGGGCGTGATGCATGCTGAGACTGGAGACACGATGGTTGATTATGGCATGCTTGGTGCGAACTGGATAATGCAATAGCTCAGAATACTGTTTAGAAGCATGTTCTGGGAATCACTGCCTATGAACTTCTTAGCTGGCGCATGGTCCATCTCTAAAGTTTGCGAATCAGGAATACGACGGAGAGCCTCGAAGTAGCAGACCGGCAATGGAGACTGCAGGAAGCAAAATTCTCAGCCAAATGCCAGAGGAACACCATGCCAAGCGTCCAGTTCACCCAGTGCGCCTCTCGTGCTAAGATGTGCATGATCATGGTCTCGGCGCCTGCTCGCCTGGGGCCGCATGCTGCACAAAAGCAGATGAATCGTTTGCAGGTTCTCAACGGAACTCGTGCTTCCACGGGCATGGCCAGGGTAGCGCATGCCAGGACCTCAAGATTTGATTAGATCACAGCGAGCAGAAGAACCATTTGTGACGAGCTTCGTTTGAGCCAGCACCTTTTCGATTCTGCTCCTGATCTCCTGCCATATTCGCAGGTGGGGTGCTCCATTGGGAGACTCTTTTACCGCCAAGAGCACCGACGCCCCAACATAGCTGCCATGCCATGCCGTGCCAAGATCTGTCTGAAAGGTGACACAAGTGCTTTGAGAGAGAAACGGCATGATCATGAAACTAGGGTAACTACAGCTTAAACGATGCAACTAGGTTCTAGATTCAGCTACAGTGCATGACTGCAAGCCCCGGCTATGACGGAGCCCAAGACCACGTCCTTGAGCTCGGCGTAGATGAAGTCCGGCCTGAGTGCAGATCAGCCCAGCACAAAAATCCCCAAACTATTCACTCCTGACTCTGCACGCATTGGGTCCCAGGAGCTGCGTGGATATTAGCCCACCTGGGCGATTTCGGCCTTGGAATGAGACATGTTTGCTGCAATGACAGAGTGAACCAGCAAGCAGCAATAGAAATGACTGCGGCCGTCTCCAGCGCAATTTGTGCAACGGCTGGAAATCACAGCGCCAGTGCCAAGCAGAGTAGAGACGCCATAGGTCATACATCCCGAAATGCATCAAATTAAATCACATAATATTATTATTGTTCTGCTCCTCTGAAGAGATCGGGCCATATCACACATGGGAGCTTCGATGAGCTTCGGCTTACTGCTGCCCAGAAGAATGTTCTGACTTCAGGATTCAAGTCATGGCTTGTAAGGCATTCAAAACTTTTTTTTTGCAAGCTTGCCTTGTGCCAGCTTGTTCCAGTTCTAGATGTGGGATTGCCAGGAGTTGTGCCATGGTGTATGCTTACCAAACAATAATGCGGAATCCAGGTTTGCCTAGCACAAACTCAGGTGAAGTTGCAGATGTCGCGCCAAGTACCTAACTGTTTAAGAGCCGGCCCTCATGCCTTGTTCTGCAAAGGCTTCCTGTGGACTCGATGAAGTACGACGCGAAGGCCAGGTTACCAAAGCATTGGAACTTATGCGAAATCAGGATGCTTCAACCGTCCTGGCCAGGTTGCTGGTCACATCCTGCTCGAGCGCTTGGAAAGCAATCAGCACCTGCCCGAGTCAGGCTGCCCAGGAAAATCATGCTGCAACAGACGCACCTGGAGACATGAAGTGGAGGTCCTGTGGACTTCCACTGTTCCCTTGGCAAATCCACCGCACATCCCGCGACAATAGCTTCCCGCGGACGCAAGGCGGCCTGTGACAGGAACTGTATTCGTAGCTGCGGGTCGTCCATCTGCACCTTTGCATGGCTGTTGCTGTTGTTTTTGTGCTGCTGGACCCACCAAGTTAAGGGTGTCATCCACAAAATGGGGAAAGCATCTGCAAGAGGAGCTACTCGCTTGTTTGGCTATGGGTGCCACAGGCCAAAAAGTGCTTGTTGTGGAAGCCGTCTGACAATTTTGGCGGTCACAAACAAGTACTAGTTCTTAGCAGGGAAAACTGGAATATAATCCCTATATGCAATATTCCGATTCCCTTATTCCCTACTACTAAGAATCAGTAAGATCAAGTACGAGAAGCGCGGAAGGCGCGTGCACGAGGAACCTGTCCATACAACATCACACGGGGGCTTGCCAGGACTGTATGAGCTACAGTCAACATTGTCCAGACCATTAATCGAGGCTCCACGTTAGGGACCATATTAGGGACCATACTAAACTACAAGGGGGTCCCCTGTGTCCATTGTTCAGGACGCCTTCATAAGGCTAATATTGACAGTAGCTCGCATGAGGAAATGGCCGGCAAGAGTGTACCCCCAAGTTCACTGTATGCAACAGCCCTCTTCTTCTATGCGTAATCTCAGTTTTGGGAGGGGGGCTTAGCCGCTAAGCCCCAGCACATTGGTCTGAAACTCTTCACACGGACAGATGGGGAAGAGATTTAACAGTACTTGACATCGACCCCGTGTTCCCCGGCTCAGCGTCCCCTGTCCAAGGTCAGGTTGCTGTCCCGGCATCTCGAGTCCGGAAAATCTCTCCCGCTTGTGTCACCGTGTGTACGCGGGACTTCCAACATTAAGCAAAATGCCGCCGATCTCTGTGTGATAAACAGCCCGCCCCCTCACACTACAACAGTTTTCATCCAAGATCAGTCTTTGCGTTCTCCAGTCCTTCTGAGCCTCCCTCCGCACACTTCTTCGCGTACTCCCAAATGACTACACACATAACTGCCATCTAGGACTCTAGTTCACTTGAATCAGTCTACAGGTGCCTGGCCCCTATTGACACCTCTAGCTGCATTAATTATGTCGGCTTTTGTACCAACGCACGGAGTCCTTGCAATTGCCGTAAACACGCGTTTGAGCTCGAGCTCATCTCTCTCCCTCTCCCTCTGAAGCTCTACAGGTCCAAACTCAACTGGACCTACTCGACTTGCTAACTGCCCATCTTAGAGCTTGCGCTTTTGCTCTGGTGTGCCGCTTGTGCCTGCCGAGGCGGTGCAGGCTCTGGAGGAATCCAGGGCTCGCGCTGCTCCGCCGAGGTCGGGTATTTCCTTCCAAAGCTGCAAGAGCCGTATACTGACCGGGCTGGCAACCATGCAAACTTTCATAGCACTCTCATCACCAAGTACTCAAAGCATATGTACACCGGTGTTGTCAACTTGCATGTCACTTGGCAGGCAGACATACCTACCACAGTGGCAATAGCAACGGCGGTAGTGATGCCGGCGTTTAAACCCCGGAACATTCTGCCAGAGAGAGAGAGAGAGAGAGAGAGAGAGGGAGAGATCGATATTCGCATCATCCTAAGTGCTCTTCATCTTCTTTGTGTGCATGAGTAGCGCCTCAGGCGCCCCTATTAAGTCCATTCTGTCGTTTGGGAAGTGTTGCTAAGTAAGCTCATGACTTGGGATGGCTCTTTTCGCAGATGCCTTCTCGTGATCAAGGGCTCAGTAGCAGGTTCCATGCTCAAACACCGTGACTGC